AAGGGGAGGAACAGAGGGGTTCAAGCAAGGCTGCTCCAGAAAAACCCATGTGCACTTTATGTTCCATGTGTGTCACATTCATTGAACTTGGTGGTGGCTGATGCAGCAAAAGCGTCAACAGATGCCATCAGCTACTTTGGTAATGTACAGAAACTGTACACCCTTTTCTCAGCAGCCCCACAAAGATGGGCAATCCTAAAGGAACATCTGACTATTGCACCTAAGTCTTGGAGTGACACACGGTGGGAGAGCCGTGTCAACAGCATAGAGGCAGTGCGGTACCAGGCCCCTAACATAAGGGAGGCATTGTTGGAGGTCAGGGACCAGTGGCGGCGCTAGGGGGTGGCTACTTGGGCTCAAGCCCCGGATGTTTTCTGAAAAGCCCCGGATGTTTCACTTAAAACAAATTTAATTTTTTTTTTTTTAAACGTCTTGGGAGTAATGTGCAGTACCGGAGTCCACCAAAGAGGCAGCCACTGTGGGACATTAGCCTGCGTACTGCGTAACCTGCCCTGAAGAAGAAGTGATCCTTCCTAGTGCCTGACGAGTTTTAAGCTAATAGCATATACAGTTATGGATATTAGAAAGTTATTGTCATCGAAGCAGGCCACACAAGCTGCAGCAGCAGCAGTATCAGCAGCAGCAGTATCAGCAGCTGACAACAATGTCATCACCAGCAGTCAAGAAATGGATGATGTTTCAGGTTTGTTAATCTAATGGTGATATCTGCACTCTGGCTGACTGAGTAAGAAGTGAAAAAGAGTGATGTAACGTTAATGTTATAGCTAGTAAACATGGAGTAACCACACTAATTATACCCTTATATGTTATACTATGTATACAGAACATGACTAAACATTATCCTAAGATGTAACGTTAACCCTTCATAACTCAGTCTACTTTTAAGACACTAAAATAACGTATTCCAATTTTTATTTTGTTTTCACGCGTGGAATTATACCGGCTCTCGTTTCAGTACACATAACAACAGAACTGACAGGCAACCCTCTGAATCAGACTCCGATTGGCTGTGACTGCATCCACTCAGAGTGTCCGATTCAGAAACGTGACTCTTACGGCCCGTCCACACAGCGGCGTGCGTTGAAGCTTCCAACGCTTCTGCCCATTCACTTTGAATGGGGTGACGTCACTTTTAGCCGAACTGCATCGTGGGAAGCGACGCGAAGCGTTGCTGGCGTGGCTCGCTGCAAAAGTTGAGCAATGCTCAACTTTTGACGCCTCGGCAGAAGCGTCAGCCAATCTAATCATATGCCAGTACAAGCTCTAGCCAATCAAACCGCTGCTTGTGTGTCAGGGGCGGGAGATTCATGTGATTGGTTGTTGGTCGAGTGTCAGACACGCCCGCCGGCAAGCGTCAACGCACGCCGCTGTGTGGACGGGCCGTTACACTCTTTACGTCACAAACAAAGATGGTGGATGAGAATAGATCTATAAAACGATAAGCAATGCGCCAGAATCAAGGTGAGACTATCCGCATCCTTTAAAACTCTACGCACATTCGTTTCACCTTAAGTAAACGACTATTTGAGTGAGTTAAGGCATTAGTTTGCTTCATTAAAGGATGTTAATGAGTGTTCTCCAGTGCCTTTTGTCCGCTTTAAGGTGTTATTAAGGTAGGGTTAATGTTGCTCTCAAAGTGCACCAGATTGATGCTTTCAACTTCAATATTTAAAAAAAAATCTTCCCGGGGGAGCATGCCCCCGGACCCCCCGAGAGGAGGTGACGACCCCCCTAAAGGATGTTTGGTCCACCCCCCACTTATAAAAAATAGCACTTTACCCCTGCAAAAGCAAGGAAGCAGAAGTTTTGAGGAGGAGGAGGACAAATGTAAAGTAAACATTTTTGAGAAAATGCTGCATAGATAGTCAAAATAAATAATAAATAAAATGTCAAAATCTGTTTTTACGTTTTTTTTGTGATTTTGGGTCCAAAATGTTCATATAGTAGAAGATCACTGCTCTAAACAAAGTCAAAAATCCTACATCCAAACGAAATAAATATTATTAATTATGATGAATACGTTAAGTCTTGTTCATTGTTTTTCACTTTTATTAAATGTTTGATATTTCCGGTGGAAATGGTGGACTATCGGACATTCAAAATGCAGCATATTTTCACTCTTACACACATATATTCTCCTTTTACATACATACATTTTCACTCTTACACACATATATTCTCCTTTTACATACATACATTTTCACTCTCACACACGTATATATTTACACTCACACATTCATACATTTTGCTCTCATATTATCCTATTTCAATGCACACATTCATATATTGTCACTCACACATTCATGCATTTTGTTCTCATATTCATATAATTTAATGCTCATATTTATACATTTTGCTCTCATGCGAAATCTACTAAAACAAAGTATGTCATGGTAGTGGTCAGCTGTTAAACACAAAAGTGTATCTTAAGGGCTGTAAATATAATAAGCCCAGTGATTCCCACAGCATGTTAATACTAATGGCTCCCCCCAAAGTATAATTTGTGTGTTATTTTTTTTTTTTTTACTCAGTGAGCACTCATTTGCATTTGCATTGGTGGCAATGAGTGCTCAGTGAGTAAAAAAAACTTTAAAAACCATAAATTATACTTTGGGGGGAGCCACCCATACATTATACTTTGGGGGGAGCCATTATACTGGTAAACAGCCTCTATGGGCGCGAGTCCAGACCCACTTTTGGAATCAAATGATGACGTCAGTGGGATTATCTCCTTTATCAACTCCTAAGCATCCCCGGGACAACATCACTAGCCCCGCCCCTAAAAAGGTGTGAACTTGAGCCAATCAAGGACTACTACTACTAGGTCGTCCTTAGACGAGTTTGCCAACGGGTTCGCCAATCCTCACGGTCCTCCATACACCCGGCCAGCTCTGTGGAGCTTTCCACCCCCACATCCTTCCTCAGCACCTCCACGTATGTTGGCGTGGGGCGCCCTCTTGGTCGGTGCCCGTGTGTTGGCTCCCAGAGTACTAACTTGCCAGCTGGAAGTTCCTGGTGTCGATGGCAGTGACCTGCACATTTCAGTTTCCTGGATGCCACCTTGTCACTCAGCCTGGGTAGCCCACCAGGACTAGCTCCGCTCCTAAATTTTTGAGAGATTTCTGAGGAGATTTTTTTTGGAGATTTTTCATATTTTTGGAGAGAAATAAAGGTGGGTGCAACTTACAAAATAGCCATAAAGCTAGTTAGCATAAAAAACGCTAATTAGCATCTGCTAGCTAGTTACAAACGTTAATTAGCATCTTCTAGCTAGTTAGCATTACAAACACTAATTAGCATCTGCTAGCTACTTAACATTAAAAACGCTAATTAGCATCTGCTAGCTAGTTTAACATTAAAAACGCTAATTAGCATCTGCTAGCTAGTTAACATTAAAAAAACGCTAATAAGCATATGCTAGCTAGTTAAAATGTGTTGTCCCTGGGTCATCATAGATGTTGTTCCCATGAATTGAAAAAATACTGGCAAACTGCATAGGTAGCTAATTGTACGTTAACATTATATGTATTCACTCAGCAGGCATGGATAGTTTAGTTACCAAGACCAAGAGAGTTCGGCTTGAGGTTGTGCAAGGGGAGCAGGTAATATTAACTGTTCTATATAAATAAAATTGACATTGAAATGATAAACAAATCTTTAAGCCATGTGTGATTTAATATGGTGTGTGAAATTAAATTCCAGTTAACAGAGAAAATGCAGATGCAACTTGATTCACTTGTTAATTCCAGGGGACGGTGAGCACTAGTGAGAGTGCAGAGGGCAGTGTAGTAGACGCAGCAGGTGGTGTTGAGGCAGCAGGTGCAGGTGTTGAGGCAGGAACAGGTGACCAAACAGCACAGTTCCCAGTTCCAACTTCCACAGTTCAAACCCTTCAATTCACCTAGACAGAGTAAGGAGAGCACTTTTGAAATGCTTTATTCTTACACCAAATGCATTATAATTACAGCTCCTCATCACCGCAAGTCTGGCTGGAATCCTGACTGGTTAAAGGACCCTCTCTTCAACACTTGGTTGTACAACACCAAAAATGGTAGAAATTACATTTGTATGTGTTTAATATCAATTAGTGTATGTAAGAATTATTCAACTAACAAACTTTTGGTTTTTAAGGCATGTTTTGCAGGCTCTGTAGGCTACACAAGCCTCCTCATATTAAAGGCCCTCGGCAAAGGTCCTTTATTGAAGCTGGGTACACGGTCTACAGGAAGGATGTGATCCAGCACCACCTGAAATCCGAACTGCATCAATACAGTGTGGGAAAGCAGGCGTCCCTGGCTTCAGGTATAGAATTATCTTTTAACAAAAAGCCTAGTGAATTCGTACAAGATATTAACCATGTTTGGCATGCACTCTTATTAAATATTTGCTCTTCGTGCAGGCCTCAGTGTGGTGCAGGCTTTTGAGCCCAATATTGTCATGGAGCATGAAGCCATCATAGGAGGGTTCAAATGCCTATACTGGCTCATGAAGAATGAAATATCGCACCACAACAACTACCCAAAGCTCCTCAGCCTAATGCCAATTATTGGGTTGCAGCTACTTTGCAAAGCTGAAGGTAATTAACCCTTTACACTATGAAATTGAACTGATACCACACAAGCCTATCTAATTGATGCATCTCCTTTTCTTAGCTGGACCAGAGGAGTAATTATCACTCCCACAGGATTGTGGACGAAATGCTGGAGATCCTTGCGAAGGTAAAGTAAAGCTATTCACTATTTTTACTCAGTCGTGTTCTATTGGTTAAATGGAATATTGGATTCATGCATTGTTATATTGTGTTCAATAGATGTGTTTTTGGTTCCTGAAATGTTACCCAGTCTGCTTGAATACCCAAGAAAAATATCTCCATGGAATCAATCAAATATATCATTCTACTTGTAGATTGTAGAGTCCTCTATCATGGAGAAGATGAGGGCCTCAGCAGCTATCGGCCTTGAGGTTTCTGTGATGTTTCTGTGATCCGGCAGCTCGATCTACATGTCAGGTGCTGTGTTTTTGAAGGTGTTCAGTGCGTATAAAGATTTAAGGCATTGATGGTATTTTAATGTATGACAATCAAATGTTATTTCAGACTCCTGGACAAGGATGGACTCGTCTACACGCACTTCCTTGACCTGGTCCCATTGGACGATGGGAAGGCTGATACAGTTGTTGCTGCCATCAAACGCGTGATTCAGGAGAAGGGGCTCCCGACTAACAAGCTATACGGGCTCGGGACTGATGGAGCAGCAGTGATGACTGGTATGAAGTCAGTATTACATTTGATGGATTGTGTGAAATGAGGAAAATGACACCTCAACACTAAATGTATATCTTAAACCTAGGTCGTCTGAATGGTGTGGCCAAGCAGCTCACTGATGATATCCCGTGGCTGGTGGCTGTGGCCTGCGCGGCCCATAGACTGGCGCTGGCGTGTAAGGGCGCCTCAGAGACGGTGAAGTACATGGCCACCTTCCGCAACCACCTACAGGACCTGCATCTTTTCTTTCGCAACAGCGCCAATCGGTCAGCCGCCCTGCGCAATGCTGCCACCACACTCGGTTTGAGTGACCTGAAGGTCAAGGTATGTAATCAACAATTTTCACAATATAATTGAACATTTAGTGTGATTATTTTATTCTTATCAGTGTTTCTATGTATGTTTAGGAAGTCAAGGACACAAGATGGTTGTCGCAGGAGATGGCAGTCCAGAATCTGCGGAGGAACCTGCCAGCCGTCCTCTCTGCTCTTGCTGATGAGGCCACCACCAGAAAGTGTCCAATAGCCAAAGGCCTGTACACCTTTTGCGCAACATACCGTTTTGTGGCTGCCCTGTACCTGCAGGTGGATGTGTTGCCGCACATCTGCCTCCTCTCAAAGGTGTTCCAGAAGGCCAACGTAAACTTCTTACACATTAAGACGCAGGTATGAATGTCATGTCAAAAATGATGCTTTTCATGGTGGAATGACTTCCAGATATTGGCTGGTATTCCCAAGGAGTTAAGCAAGCACTTATCCCATAGACATATGGGCAAAGGGCTTGCTTAACTCTTGGGAATACCAGCCATTATCTTGTCATCTTGAAGATCTTTACACATTTAGGTTCCAGCCACACTGGCAACCATCAGGAGTTTTTGGGAGGCAGGCGAGGCCCCACTGCCCAGGACTCACCTCCATCGGCTTCATGCGGACCTGGACGACCCTGTGGGACTTGGGCCATTCAACATCTGCCACGAGGAGGAGCGGGTCAGGAGGGGACGGGACCTCCAGGACCCTCCCAGGGACGTGCTGTGGGCCAGATTTGTTAAAGAAGTAAATACATCCTCTTCAACTGTTACTTGAGATTTGTAAGTATTTTTCCCCCTTGAGCTGAAAAATGAACTAAATTGAACCTATAATTCTAGGTGCTCAAACCATACCTGAGTGGATTGGAGAGCAACCTCAAGAACAGGTTCCCAGACGTCGAGTTGTTGGGGGCCTTTGTTGTGCTTAGTCCTCGGGCAGCAATGGCAGACGAAGACACCAACATTGAAAACCTTGACATTCTTGCGAGGAAGCTCATCCCAGGGCGGGAAGAAGACCTTAAAACGGAGTGGTACTCCTTCAAACCCCACCTCACAGGAGCTTTCAAGGTAAGTAAACTTGCCTGTTTTTGTTTACCAGAATTGATTCATCTTGTCTTGCGTATGGTTAATTTTATTGTATGCTCTTTTTCCAAACTTCTGAAGGACAACAGTCAAGCTGAGATCATGCAGATGCTGGCAAGCGAGAACGATGAGTGGGCTGAACTCTATCCTCTACTCGGCAAGCTTTCTGCGGCTGGGCTGGTGATCCCGGTCTCAAGTGTGAACTGTGAGCGAGACTTCTCGACGATGAACCGGGTACGGAAAATACATACATCCAAATTATTTCACAGGTGCAGCCTGGATATGAAAAAAAAACTTTGGAGCATAAAAGCTGTATAAAGAAAGCCCAAGTGTCTGATGGTGGCCTCTGCTGGCTACTTCTGAACTGCAGCTCAATGATTGTACAGTCATCTTTTTTATTTTCTAGCACTTGTTTTGATTTCTGCATGGTTATTTTAATGCTTGGTGCCTGTTTTCATGCTTTTCAGGTGAAAACTGACCTGCGAAATAGACTTCAGGGGGAGCACCTGGCAGCATGCCTCCGAATATCCATAGATGGACCGGAATCGGAACACTTTCCATACCAGAAAGCCCTGGAGAGGTTTTTTGACAAGCCGCGACGGATCCACTGCTCAAACAGGCTGTGCCGTCTGTGCAACCATTAAGTTTGTTGCTCATTTCATTCACCAGTTTGTACCAGTGTGGAGTTTTTTGTCTTAAATTTGATATAGATCATGTTCTTTGTTGGTTTGTGAGGATGTTCATACACACTTGGTAAGATGTGTGTGTGAAAGAAGACCACAAAAAACAGCAGTGACTGCTCTCAGCTGTTTAACACTTAAAGACCTAGACACCATCACCAGTTGTAGGTTGTCTGAAGTGCAGTGTTACTTTGAAAATTCACTAGAATGCAGGAATTGAGAAAAAAAATCTCAACATTTTTCAAGTTGAAAACTGAACTTGAAAATGGTTTCCTCTTTTTATTTTATTTATCATTTTCGGGACGGGGAGATGTGAGGAGACGTGTGTGATTAAAAATTAATTTGCAGAAATGTAAAGTGATCTAACTAAGTTCTATTCATATTCTTGACGGGAAGAGCAGTGTAAATGGGTGGCCATATGCATTTGAAAAGCAATATAAATCACACAGTTATTATACAATAGGCTATAAAAGCACCATCGATAACCATTACCTTTATCCAATTCAAACTTTGGACGGGAAAAAAGGAAGGTGTACATGGTTGGGCCTACTGTATACATACAAAGGCCATTCATGCTAGAGTTCTTCTGGAAATGTTCACATCAGGCACCTTCAAGTTAAACAATACTACAGTAAACAATTAACACAGTAGGCCTAAATTATGTGGATTAAACCACATTTATTTCGTTAAAAATAAACGAAATATGATTTAGTTTGAATGATTAAATGTCATCAGGCACCTTCAAGTTAAACAATCAGGTGCACACTTTAATGTGCCGCCACCTCCGGACTCGGCTTGACTCGGTTTAAAGAATGCACAAATGTGTTTAATCGTTAATGTCAGATATGTACTAAGTAGCCTAAATACATTTGTTCCTGCTCAAGATTAGATTCAACTTTATTGTTATTGCACATATTGCAGGTACTGAGACAACGAAATGCAGTTTAGCTTCTAACCAGGTGCAACAAGCAGCGAAAAGTAATGTGCACAATACTACAGTAAACAATTAACACAGTAAATTATGTGGATTAAACCACATTTATTTCGTTAAAAAGAAACGAAATATGATTTTGTTTGAATGATTTAAATGTAGGGTGAATTGCCCTAATGTGGGACATTTTTGCATTTCAGACTTCGGGAATATATTGCGATATGAAGCCGATACAATAAATCAAAATCCAGTACCATTCCGAAATCCCCAGTAATATTAGACACTAATAATACAGTAAACTATTAACACTGTACATATTATTGTTTGCCCATGGGATTAGGATGATCGGTAGTGAGACCCGTGCTGCATTTTCCTCCGGTCGGATGTGATATAAAAACAAAGCGATTATTGTTGTTGTTGTAAACTCACGTGGATTAAATTTAGTGCATTCATTTCAACTCGCGAACATATGATAGCCTACATTAAATGATCGTGAGGATGATGATTGAAAATCGTTTGTTTGAGCCGGGATGCATTTCCTGATCTAAAAACATAGCGATGGTTTTGGACTTACGCCAACGTGAATTAAACATTATTTTGTTAAATAAAAACATGGTGATGTTTAGTAAATGATTACATGTCTCTTATTTAGCACAGAATATGATCCTATCCGTGACATATGGATCTTAACAAATATCCGCTATATCAGATACCTGTAGATCAGCTGTTTATTTCACGAGTTCCAGTGTGGCAGCTTTTTAATCACGGCTCCCCCTGGTGGATCCATTATCCATTGCAGCTGGTTTCATTATAATTAAATGTATTTATCAAGGGGGCGTTTCAAGTCCTGCGGGGGGGTTTTCCTTTTCAGCAGGGGCCCACCCCGTGCCGATCACGGACCCGCACGGGTAGGCGTCTGAAATGGAGCGCTCCATCTGTACCTGCTTCCTCCTCAGTCATTAGACACGCAGCTTCTTCCTCCATTCCATCAATTATCCCTCTCAGACAGTAGGCTCTTCTACATTCTGTGCTTCAAATGAAACAGGCCTTTTTCTCTTTTGTAAAAGAAAATGACAGCTGCAGATGCGGGAACAGGCATTGGGCTTCCTGTCAGCTCGTCTGTTGGGAAGATATAAAATATTAGTTTCATGGAAGTCACACCGTCACATATAAGAGCATTAAGGCATACAGTACATAGGCTAAAACAAAACATCTAAAGATATAACCTCGCACTTTGATAAGTCTCGTGAACATTTTCACTATTTTGACATTTTTATAGATCAAAATGTAACTAAAGAAATAAATGGTAGATTAATCCATATTGAAAATAGGTGTCAGCTGCTGCACTAATTATAATAGTTATATTTCTTAATTAAGATAATATATTGCTTTATTGATCCCAATTTGGGAATTTTTTGTGTTGCAACAGCATAAAAAGAAAAACAAAATATAAGTTATTATATATACAAAAGTATGTGAGGGATGGAAAATAAAATTGAATATAAATATAAAATGTACATGTGATTTTACGTCCAAGAGAAGCTATGGAGCAGAGAGTTCTCTGCCAGCCAGAGGTGATTTGTTATTAGTTCAATATGTCAAACTGATTTCCCTGACTACAATCTTTATTTACATGGTGAAACGTTATGCTGCTTGTACTAATTAGACTTATCATATAAGCCACACAGGTTTTAATAGGATTTATTCATTATCTTTACTTATGTTGCGGTCTTTTCAGCAGCGCCATCTCTAAAACGGCGATACAGTCACTACCCATCATTTAAATTTCACCGTGACATGGACAAAAATGTAACGTCAGCTTACCTCATGGCACGAATCCAGACTCTCCTTTGGAAAACATTGTCCGGGAAACGATAGAACGAGCACGTTTCATGCGAAGACCTGTGGCTGCAACCCGGAGCAAAGCAACAAACCATTGCGTAGCTAACTAGTAGTGCTAGCTTTAGCTAACGAAACGAACTGCCGAGTAAAATTGGAAAACACTGGAAATTAATTATTCTATAATTTGTAAAACTACAGTGTGGTAGATATATAGATACTAAAGATAGGCAAGTACTTGCTTTCAAGCAGAACGCGGGGGAAAACAAACTTAGCGGGAGTGTTTACGTGTTCAGCGTAATGACGTACAATGGCTGCGACAATTTCTGTAGTCCTATTCAGCCACTCGGTAACAACCATCGTTTTTCAGACACGTAAACTCTTCAAAAATCACCAGTGGGGTTCAGTGGCGGCCGGCCCATAGGGGCGCTAGGGGCGCCGCCCCACCTCTTCCCACATACAAAATAAAAATAAAAAAACTATTTTTTTTTTTTAATAAACAAGGTAAATATTATATAATTGGTATCAGTAAAATGTATAATCTACAATAACATCTCGTTTAAAATTGTGTTACGACGATATCTAAAGTTACTGATAAGTCACATGTTTCCTGCCTGGCCTTGCCCATGTGTACCTTTATATACCTTTATACCTTTATATATACAGTCTATGGTCATTACCCTCTCTCGTCTGGGTGGTAAGAACGGAGCCCTCAACCAGTGCAGCAGCAGCCACTAGCAGCTGACTGTTGCTATCTGTAAACTATGATGCCGAAACATAATTTCAGCCAATCAGCGTCGTCAAATCTGATGATCACCGGGCGCCAATGTCAGCGCCCGATCCAGTCTGTGAGTAGTTTGGACACTAGTGATTCGTATCCGGTGGGGTGACGCAGAATGGCAGTAGTTGATGAGGATGGCTTCATGTGCAGGTGGAGTCTCCGGACCTCGGTCCCCGCCCAGTTCTGTTCAAGAGCTAATCTCCAATCCTTTCGAAAGGAGAAGTTTGGGAGATAAACTGTTGCATAAAGAAAGACCTTGGACCGGACCAACCCGATTTGTATATATCGCAGCAAGCTCGTGAAAAAGACAAAACGTATCAACGAGGCTTCTCACGTAGCTGGTACACCAGAAAGGCATGGCTAGCTGGATGCAAACAGGTAAATGCTGTCTTTTGTTTCCCATGCTTGCTCTTCAAACAGCCGGGGACAGATACGATCTGTTCAGAAACTAGACAAAAGTTAAACAAGTACAAACCACAGACTGTCTGTGTCATGGAGAATACAGTCGCTGGTTTATTTATGTCTGTATAGGCCGTTGTTGTGAGTGTGGACTGTCGGAGCATTTACAACGTTAGCTTAGCCAAGCTCCATTTAGAAAACACGCATTTTAAAAGGTTTTTCGCCTGCCGTCTGTCTGCAGACTTGTCAAAGCATTAATTCATGGTTTTTACTAACCGGTATCAGTATGTTGTTACTTCGGCATAATTTTGAAACGTGTATTACAATTAAATTTACGGTCAAATATGTTCATCTTGTTGTAGTTGTAGCCCCCTTGCCAGCGATTCTCTCTCTAGTTTAACATACTCAGCCCGACTCAGCCTGGTTGTTCCTGGCCCTAGAACCACGATTTTATGGGGCCAGAAAAACTGTGAATTAGGACCCGCTAGCCGGTACTAGGCCAAGTGGAAACGCAACCAAAAACGGGCCCCGCACGGCTCGGCACGCTTAAAGCGAGCTCCGCGCTGCAGTGGAAACGCGCCATTACATCACCAGAAGTCCTAATTTAAGGGGTCATTTCTCCCAAAAAAATTGTTTTTGCTCACTATATCAACAGCCCCACCAAATATATTTTCCACCAGCCGCCACTGGTGGGGTTACTGCTGATGTATTTAATGTTGTAGAACAAAACGTGATTTATCTCTTCAATTTGTGTCAACCACAGACCTTATTTCGAGCTATTTTTCAAAACCCTATGGAGAAAATGCATTGCTTTTTGACGAAGGAACCGGAAGTGCTAAAAATGCTAACTTACTTCCGGGTTTTAGGAGGCGTCACTACGGTTCTCTATTATACATCCATGGAGTAAACACAGCTGTCCAATGAATGTTACAGGATAGGGATCTGTAAGCATAATAGAGGCGAAGTCCATCCCCTTCCGGGAGCCTCCATGGGACCTTATTTCGGAATAATTAT